CAGCCCGACCTCGAGGTCTCTTCCCGTACTCCACGGCCGGGCCGTCCCGTCCCGCGGGAAACGTGTGTGGACCGCTCGCGGCGCCGCACGGTGACGGGAGGGAGGCGGAGGGGTCGGGGACGGACGATCGTGGACTCGGGGTCGGCATTCGGGAGTCGCCTTGACGCAGAGGCTTTGTGCTACGAAATGGGAAAGGCTAGACGGTCACGAGGGAGAGCGAGCCGGCGGTGACAGCTAAGCCAGGAGATGACGAAGGGGCAGGCTTGCGGAAGGACAGGGGCTCGGGCAGTGATGAGCTCAGCGATCCAGTAATTCTGACCGGGACCTCCCTGGAGGGGAGGCAGAGGCCAGACGGTGCAGGGCCGCGCTGGGCCGCCGAGGGGAGCTGTGGAAGGGCGGGGCGCAAACTGCTCTTAGTCACTTCTTGTTACAAGCCTGCTTGGGTGCTGGGCAGTTAGGACCAAGGAACCGAACCGCCTGGCTTTGGGTCGTGACTGAGCCAAGGTCATGGTCGCGCCTGGTGCTGTCTCTCAAGGCACATAGAAAGGCAGTGTTGACTTAATTCTGGCAGAACATGGTTGCCCAGTAAACCCAAGTGGATCTCGCCAGTGTGCTCACCTCCCCAGTTGTAATAGGCTGCTTTCTCTGTTGCAGGTTTGGACTCTCTGCACACAGGCAGTTTAGTAGTGGAGGCGCCTACGCCAACATCCCCCTCTCTACTCCCTTGCCTGGAGTACCCAAGCCTATTTTTGCTACACTTGATGGACAGGAAAAGTTTGAAACCAAAGTTACCACACTGGATAATGGCCTCCGTGTGGCGTCTCAGAATAAGTTTGGACAGTTTTGTACAGTGGGAAGTAAGTACCGTTGTGTGGCAAGTGGCTTCTCGAGTTGTAACATGATGTGCTTTAGCTGACTGTCAGTCTTAATTAGCAAGTCTCCTGTGAACCGTGCTTTGCTTGGAAGCATGTTAGAAACCTGAAATTTGTGGTGAGGTCGTGCACACCTGTGATCTGAGCTGCTCAGGAGGGTGAGGCAGGAGGGTTGTAAACTCAAGTCCTGGTATCATTCTGGCAATTTTGTAAGACCCTGTCTCAAAAAAGGGGGTGGAGGCATAGGGATGTATCTAAGTGGTACAGTGCCCCTGGGTTCAGTCTTGTGAAAAAGAAAAAAAAAAAAAAGTGAGAACTTGAACAATGGCTATTTTCGGTAGTAGTATTTTGGGTAGGATTCCACTGGCCCCATTTTTTTTTAACCTTTCTATAATCCTAGAAGTTTTCGTCATAAACCACAGTAGGCCTTCACAAATGGTGTGTAATGCCTCAGTTCGCAAATGCTTCTGTTTTCAAACAGAAATATTCCCTTCCAGCCGGAACCTCCATCTTCCAGTGATTTGCCAAGATGACAAACACAAAGGGAAGGAGGGGAGGAACCCGGTATATGTTCTCTAGGCCTTTTAGAAAATGTGGGGTTGTTCCTTTGGCCACGTACATGTGGCTGTACAAAAAGGTTGATATTGCAGACATCAAGGGATTGGGTACTGTTCAAAAAGGAATGCCACACAAATGTTACCATGGCAAGACTGGAAGAGTCTACAGTGTTACCCAGCGTGCTGTTGGCATCGTTGTAAACGAGCAAGTTAAGGGAGAGATACTTGCCGGAGGATTAATGTGCGTATTGAGCATATTAAACACTCAAAGAGTCAAGATAGCTTCCTGAAACGTGTCCAGGAAAACGACCAGAAAAGGAAGGACGCCAAAGAGAAAGGGGCCTGCGTCCAGCTGAGTGCCGGCCTGCCCCGCTCAGAGAAGCACACTCTGTGAGAACCGAGGGAAGGAGCCTGAGTGGCTGGAGCCTGTTCCCTGTGGATTCATGGCATAAGCTGGGGATGTGGCTCTGCCGTGCAGCACCTGGTTAGCGGCTAAGTGTCCTTGGCCCTACTTAAAAATAAAAAATCATCTTGTGTTGTAAGGGTGGTTTTCTTAATTGAACAGGTGTATGGTACCTTTACCACAGAGAAACAAATATTTGGAGCAGATTCTCATCATACCCAGTTAATTTTGTCAGGTGTTTACTCTTCAGTGTATTTCTTGCTGAAAGATATGAGTTGTTATATAAGTGTATACCTAAATAGCCACATATTTACAAAATATTTATATTGGCTTGAAGATCCTCTAAATCACCTTGGGGACAAGATGTATCAAAATAAATGGAAGTTGCTGGATGAGGTGGCGCACTCCTGTAATCCCAGCACTCAGGAGGCTGAGGCAGAAGGATTGATGCGAGTTCAAGACCAGAGTTCCAGGGCAATCTAAACTAGATAGACCGTCTCACCGCACCCCCAAAGTCAGTACATGATATTTCAATTAAATAAATTGTTTAAAGCACCCCAAAAAACAAAACAAAAGTGTTTAGTGAAACGTTGCTTCGATTCACAAACTCCACATGGGGTGACAGACACAACATGGCCATCTTTCCCAAAGTCATGAAACAAATTAAGTTTCAGAACCAAGACACTACAGTATAGCTGTGGGACTGTCATCACAAGACCACGAATGTGGCTGTCGCCCTCATCTGATCATCTCTGGCTGTTGGGAGTCACAGTTTTGAAAGGTTTCTCCTGATTAAGTTGCCTATTTTGAATATCTGGTTTAACCTATTTTCTTTTATTACCAGTTCTTATTAATTCGGGATCAAGATACGAAGCGAAATACATTAGCGGAATTGCTCACTTTTTGGAGAAGTTGGCATTTTCGGTCAGTGTCCAGTGTGTGAATTTTGAAGACTGTGCTTAAGAAGGGATGTTTTGGGGTTTTTTAGGGTTTCCCTTGCCTAGGATAGTTATTTTGATAATTGACTCGAATTACTAAGTTACCACCAACAAGGAGTCTTTTAAGTTAAACTGTAATTTGTGTTTGTGTATTTTGAAAAAAGGAAACTTTCTTAAAGGCCGTATTTTCCCAGCTGTCTTACTAATTTATGCTTTTGTGTTTATTTTTGTTAGTCTACTGCTCGATTTGACAGCAGAGATGAGATTCTGCTCACCTTGGAGAAGCACGGGGGCATCTGTGACTGCCAGACCTCCAGGTACACCAGCCGGTACACACTTCCTTCCTGTCCACGTCCCAGGCAGTGAGAAGGGAGCCCTGGCTCCGATGGAGAGTGGGATGGGCTGGGGCAGTGACCCTGGGAAGTCGCCCTTGGAAAGATGCTGCCCCATTATTTCAGCTGGGGCTGATGCAGGCCCCGTTCCAAGGTGTTCACAGGTCAGGCAGAGGCCGCTCCCACAGCACGGGCCTGAGAGCCCAGGGCGGTGAGGGAGCCTGAGCCAGTGGTGAGGAACTTGGTCTGGAGTTGGGAAGGGAATCCGGAAGTGAGACATTGGGACTATTCTGGACAGGTCTGCTGGGGTGTTCTAGACCCAGGTGCAGGAGAGGCTGTGGTTTGGCAGGAAGCAGCAGCAGCTGTTTGGGATAAGGAGGGGAGCTGTGTGGACTGGAGAGTGCAGGAGAACACTGGGGGGCGCTGCATGCACACTTAGAGAGCTCTGGGATGTAGGGGGGTAGACAGATCAGAAGGTTAGCAACGGCTGGGGATTTCCGTCTGCATGCTGAACGCAAACACACATGTTGAGTGCTGAGAATTTCGCTGGCACATCTGGTCCTCCAGACTCCTGCTCCTGGTCATAGTGAGCTCCTTCTTTGGCGGGTGGCTATGTCCTCAGCTCAGGCCGTTGCTCCTGCCCTCCCCTTACTTCCCATGCTTGTGACTGTGCAGGGCCTCACACAGTGACAGACAGCTAGACTGGGTCCCCGAGGGCCAGGCCAGGCCAGCCTCTTCCCCCGAGCCACCTGCACATTTCTGTCAGCCAGTCGGGTCACTTGTCCATGGCACAGGCTGGGCAGTGGCCCCTAGGAGAGAGCCTGGGTGGATCAGCTGTGGTGACTCAGCTGTGTCTTTCCCTCTGAGCTTCTCCTGTGGGTGCTGTAGTTCCTCCTGCCCGGAACTCACATTACTAAGAGGGAAGGGAAGTGAGTCTGCTGGCCCTGGATCACAGTGGTTAGGTCCCCCCTGCACACAGCACAGCCTGAGGTGTTGTGCTGGGTGCAGACAGCGTCACTGGGTTGTTTCTTCCAGAGACACCACCATGTATGCTGTGTCTGCTGACAACAGAGGCTTAGACACCGTGGTGGGCTTGCTGGCCGACGTGGTTCTGCAGCCATGCCTGACAGGTGTGGATGGCACTAGGGGTGTGTGGGGTCCCGTGGTTTGGACAGGAGGGGTGCCAGTGGCCGCCGTGCTGAGGAGCAGCCATGCTCTTGGGGCTGGGGCTTGCCCTGCAGTGACCACTCACCTGGAGAGTGCCAGGGATCAGAAAGTCCTTGGCAGGCCCAGGGCCCAGCATAAAGCGTGTACTCTATGTGCACATTGCCCTGGGTCCTGTGGCCCCTGGCATCATCGTGAGTGCTCAGTGCTCTGACACATCTCTGTGCCTTCGAGGCTTTTAGTGGAA